ATAAACCTGCGATAGTAGCCAGCAAGGCCTAGAAATTGACGAATTTCTGTAGGCGTCTTTGGTGCTGACCATTTCTCAATGGCCTTTATTTTGGAAGGGTCCACATGTATTCCCTCTTCGCTAACCACGTGACCCAAGAATTCGACTCTTCAAATCCAAAATTCGCATTTAGAGAACTCCGCATAAAGCTTTACTGCTCGTAGTGTTTCTAAGATCTGTCGTAGGTGTTGACTATGTTCCTCCTTACTGCGTGAGTAGATGAGTATGTCGTCAATGAATACGATCACAAATTTATCTAAGTAAGGACGGCACACTCGCTTCATTAAGTCCATGAACACTGCGGGTGCATTGGTTAATCTGAAAGGCATCACTACAAAATCGTAGTGACCATAACGAGTTCGGAAGGCTGTTTTGGGAACATCTTCCTCTAACACTCGTAACTGGTGATACTCGGATCTTAAGTCAATTTTTGAAAAGTAGCTCGCTCCTTGGAGTTGGTCGAACAAGTCGTCTATCCTTGGTCTAATAAATCCCTTGCTTATCAGTTCGTTCAGTTGACTGGATAGTTCCTGCATCTCCGTTGGTGCTAGTCGATAAGGCGATTTGGCGACAGGGGTAGCTCCTGGAATTAAGTCGATTCTGAACTCAACTTGACGTTGTGGTGGTAATCCTGGCAGTTCTTCATGAAAGATGTCGGGAAAGTCGCGCACTTATGGGATGTTCTTTATGTCTTTCACCTCTTGGCTCATATCAACCATGTTAGCAAGGAATGCATGATATTCCTTTCGTAAGTACTTTTGGGCTTGTATACTTGAGATGATTCGAAGGCTCGTGCCTGGTTTGTCGCCATATATAACTAAGGTTGCGCTATGCAGTAGATTAAGACGAACGACTTTCTCAAAACACATGATGTCAGCACGATGAAGACTCAACCAATCCATGCCGATAATGACGTCGAAACTTTTAATTGAGACAGTCATGAGGTCGATTTGAAATGAATAGCTATCTAGAGAGAGGGCGCATCCTATGTTTATATCGTTAGTGCTCTCAGTCTTCCCGTTAGCCATTTCTACGGTGAACGTTTCTTTTAGTGCTCGTGGTGGTTGTCTAAGTAAGTGTGCAAATTTTTGGTTTACGATACTCCTGTCTCCTCCACTATCAAATGTTATGCATGCATAAGATTTATCGAGGAGAAACGTACCCGTGACCACCGTAGGGTCTGCCACAGCCTCACCATGGCCTATCGCCAGAACTCTCCCTACTCCACCAGGGTTCCCTGCTTTCGGGCAGTTCCTCTTGTAGTGTCCAACCTCACCACACCCGTAGCAGGCCTGGCCTGCTCCAGCACCAGGGACCTGGGTGATTGGTCTTGCCGGAGCCTTACAGAAACAGACTGTGTGCCCTTTCCTATTGCAGTTAGCACACTGCATCTCCCAGCAGGGGCCGTTGTGGTGGAAATTGCACTTGTTGCACTTCGGTAAGCTCTCAGCGTACTGCTTTGCCGGTGCCAGGGCAACAGGTGTTGTTGCGGCATGAACAGCCACCATTTGTTGTTTTTTGGCGGAGTTCTGCTCCGATTTGTTCTTCTTTCCATCCCAAAACTTCCTCTTGTTGTCGTTTGTTTTGGCCGGTTCTGGGACCGCATGGGGTTGATGTTGGTGTGCAGACTCCATGGTCAATGAGTCGTTGTGCCAATCGTTTGGCACTGTCGAATGTAGTGGGGTTTGAAGACAATACATTCCCCTGAAAATGGAGGTACCAGTCCCAAAATGTACCTCTCAATCTTCTTGGCCTCAGTGGGGACCATCCCTGGACACAGAGCCACCAGGTCACTAAACCTAGTTGTGTAGGCTACTAAGTCAGAGCCTTTGGGTTTGCACTTGGTGAAGTCTTTGTACGAAAACTCCCTAGGGTGCCCGTAACTATGACCTTGGGTGGAGTTAACACCCGTTCCACCTCTGCTAGTCCCGCTAGCGTTGACCTGAGCTAAGGCTGTCATTACAGACGTGGTCACTACAGCTTGAAAAACTACAGGATCGAATTGTGGAGGAGGTAGTGGTTGAGTTGGAGTTATTGGGGTAGTACATCTGTTTGATCTACGAGGAGGCATCTTTCAACTATAAGTCTACAAAGATGAAGATAATTGTAAGTATTCAATAGTGAGAATAATGAGAGTGCTCCATGATCTAACACACCATAGATCAACATGTAATTGTTTGAGTGTTTTCAATAGAGAGTTACCACTAGAAAGAAGAAAGTATTTGAATAAAGATTTTCCAAGAGGATTGGATGCCTGTCAATATCATTGGTATTATAGATGTATAGAGTTCAGGAAAATTTGACCTTGCAAAAGGTCTATAACATACCAATGTAGATAAAATTTTGACAGCATAAAGACCTAAGGAAACTGAAAGTTCAAGGTCTAAACATAAACAGTAAAATAATACTAGAGTCTAAAAGTAGACATAAGCTATATCCAAAAGAGTGAGTAGAGTAAGATCTACTCGCGTGGAGTGTTGTTCTGGTTGATGCTAGATTTTGCCCTGGACTCTGCCAACTGCTGTTCTGTTTCCCACACACGCCTTTGCAATGCCACTTGGTTCTGTCGAAGATCCCTAACTTCGGATTGGCAGGCATTCAGTCCTATCTGTAGTGCATCAGTGTGAGTCAGCCAACTGTTGTTCTGTTTCCCACACCCTCTTCCCTTGCAGACTAATACCCATCAAATATCAAAGCATTAACCAACAGTTAACCAAGCAAATATCACATCATTTTACCTCCTTATCTTTGGACGAAATCATTCCCAAAACCCTCACCATTTCCATATTCACTTCTAAAGTTTACTCCATTCCCTCGAAAGAAGCAATCCAAAAATCTTCCAAGTTCAAATCCTTCAAGTTTATTCCTAGAGTTTTGGTAAGCTTTTCTTGTTAATCTAGTGTTTTTATACACTATCATGTTAGTTTCATCTTATTTACACATATTAATATGTGTTAAAACTCTTAGGATAATATCACCTTCAAAGAGTTCATCAACCATATTCCAGTGTTTAGGGCTTGGAAATCTTCACACCATCTCTTCAAACAACCCACAAATCCACGCAAGGTGAGTTCATACCCCCATATTTTCGAGATTTCCATGTTTTATGGGGGGGGATACAAGTCAAAGTTTGTTTATCATACAAATACTTACATGTTTCATCTTTATGTTAAAGTATAAGCCATTATTTGCATAAGATATGGTTATCACTCCCTTTTATATAATTATTTGTGATACATTAGTTTTGAAATGCAAAACTAACAAAAACAAAAACATGATCTATGTTATAAAAATCATGAGAAAAATGATGATTTGAAAAAGTACAAGGTGTTTGGAAGCTTTTTACCAAAATATAGCTTTTCTAACCAAAAGGAGTACATTGTACTAATTTCACTATTTTGTGGGTTACAACCCAAAAATATGATGTTTGACCTTACATTTTGAAACTAGACAAGATGATCTCTATGTACATATATACGTGATTATATAAATGTTCTTGACAAACAAACATGATAAACTATAATTGGTATAGTTCGGGAGTCACAAACACTACACTATTATTTCAGAAGAAACAAATACTTATTTAAAGGTATAATTATTTCATTTACAAGAAAAAGGAGTTTTCAGTTCACATAAATCGTTTGATACTGGTTGTGAGACATTTGGCTTCACCGTACCTACCAGAGTACACAGCTAAGTCCTGAATTATAACCAAAGTCTCTTGTATGGAGATCATGACACTTGTATATAGATCTATATGGGATTGACAACCCCGCACCTAAACTGTTAGCTACAGTTAGACCGGCCCGTCTGAGGTGACAAATGTCGTAACAGTTCCGAAACCTGAAGCACGTCGTTCAGGCCACTAGTCGTATTAGTATGGTTATGATAACTCACATAGGGTATTAACAAAACATTTAGTTAACGGGTTAACATACATTCAAGTAGTTTTATATAAAGATAAAACTTCATAACACTCTTGGATTTTCTGGAAGTATACACTATCATTTTACATGAAGCAGTTACAAATCCTTCTCATACAAAACGCTTATGAACTCACCAATTTAATTGTTGACACTTTTCAAAATCACTTGTATTCTCAGGAAACCAGTAAACAGGTAACCACAAGAGTTTTTGGTGGATGGGACGTTGTCGCATCACGTTATTTATTTTTGTCATATGAAATGGTTATCATGTAAACAATGTTTTTGAACACAATCTATTCTTATTAAATATTCAATACAATGGTTGTAATGTTTTGATCGCTATTATTCAATTGTTATGAAACTGTACATGAAGTCATCCGCCCCCGGACGTTTCCGCCGTTCTAGTTTGTGGGTGTGACATATATATATATATATATATATATATATATATATATATATATATATATATATATATATATATATATGAGAGAGAGAGAGAGAGAGAGAAATATTAAATGGGAGATATTATGATTTAGATGCCAAACAGAAACCCTATAAAGGCTCTCCATAACTTTTATTGATTACCAATAAATTCAATTTGAATAATAACATAATTACATATTAGACAAATATATAATTATGTAGTGTTTAATTAAATATGATTAATTGCCGATCTAGTCCTTCTCTTTAATAGTTTCTTATTAAACCACCGAACTATTGATACATAAGAAACTATCCCATATTTATTATTCTCTTTATTTTAGATTGTACGTTGTGTGCAATGAAATAGGAATATGTATTGCTAATAATATAACTAACTTATTGTGTATGTGTGAATATCTCCAGCAATAAGTTATATAAATATATAACATCGATGACTTTATTGATTAAATTACATTTGTATAGTACATAATGAGATAATACATGCATATTTGATATAGATTCAAACAATGCAAATCATATTATAATTAGATAGGAGTTTTAAGATGTTTTATCATTTATTATTGTAGATATTTCATTTAAATTTCAATATGATTATTTTCCGCCACCACCGCCACCACCTCCTCCACCACCACCACCTCCTCCTCCGCCTCCACCTCCAGATCCGCCTCCCCCTCCTCCACCGCCTCCGCCTTCCTCTTGGTTATTACTATCAAAAGACACTTGAGTGTTAGGATATTGATTGACATTCTGTCGGTTGTTATCAGTTGCAATACCAAGTGCAGCATTGTAGATTGAATTAGTTGACATTTTTCTTATATTAATTTCGTTGATAGCACCTCCATTCGTCGATTCACTATCATCATCCATATTTACTGTTGTAATTCCCTTTGACATTGCTTCACCACTACCTTCAACCTCTCCTCTTAACTTATCGAGGATCTCTTCTTGAATGTAATCTCTAGCATGTCCTCCTCCATATTTTGCATCACGAACACCGCATGATAAACTTGTTTTTGAATCACAACCACTCTTACTAATGTCCTCACCATATTCTGTAATTGTTTTCTCTTCTCCAAGAATCTTTTTACCACAAACAGTGTGATTTCTGAAAATCAAAAAACCTACAATAACAACCATTAATAGCTTAAGATCCATTTTGTACATTTTCTTAATATTCACTCGTGACTTGAAACTTTTTATCAAATCACTTGTATATATATAGGGATTTATATTTGTAGTTATTAAATGTGATAGTAAAGATATAATTATGTTAATCGGTTTCCATCTAAAATTATACATTAATAGTAATATTTAATATATTGTACAACCTGTATGAGTTGACATAAGTAACAATGTTATCTTTGTATATATTTTAGTAAATAAGTTTGAAATTATTTCATGTTAATTTACTTTTACACATACCTAGTGTATCATAATTACACTATTTTGTGTTACTTCGAAAGTAGAAATCTGATTACAAGTGCACTACAATGAGAAATAAATAAAACCTATTTTAATATTTAAATAACATACTAATTAATTTACTAGCGTGAAGTACTTAAACCTAAATATCTTTTATGTTATTTTGTAGAGAATCCAACTATTTAATTTCAAACGATATTAATGTGTATGTCAATCGTCCTCCCCAACCTCTTTTTTAATTTACGTTAAAGAAGACTTATCAATCATACATTTAAATCTCATTTTATTGTTCATATAGAAAACATAAATAACATATTTACACGATATATATATATATATATATATATATATTATGAAAAAAGAGTGTTTTAGTGAGATGATTAAATTGCTAAACCATATAAAAGTTTTACCGATTTAAATAACATATTCAAATATCATACTAACTCACTATACAAAAATTGATAATTAGAACATTTGGAAAACAAGCGACTTATTACCATATGGTCCAAAATGACTAATACTAATTCATAATAGCTTAGCTAGAAAACACTTTTATCCGATTCTTTTGTTTTATAATTAAATAATATACTATATAATATTAAAGAACCTATATGATAGACAAAATAATTATATTTTGAACTCCTACACTTTTTTATATTTATGATTATCATATTCAAAAACTATATAACCTTTTCGGTTGCAAAAAATTATTATTTTTAGATTTTTTTGGTCCTAAAATTAGATAGTTTTGTTTTAATTCTTGAATCCGATTGAAAATGACTAATCTACCTTTATACTTAATTTACTTTGAAATCCACCCTACTTGAATTTAGTTTTCCATCCTCATCGACAATATATAACACCATGCGCTACACATGCTTTCCATCGATCTTGTATCACTAACACTTTAACCGTAGCGCTTGTCATAATGTTATGTTTCCAAAAAAAATAATTTAAAAATATTAAAAATAGGATTTGTAGAGCTTTATAAAGATCATTCGGGTCTACCTTCTTTATTTTGAAACAAAAAATATTCTACATATATCCCAAAGAGAAACCTAGCATATTATTTCTACAAGAGGAATGACTTCTCTTACCTACTTAATTAATTAATATAGCCTTTCTGTTTTTTTTTTTCTCGAATTCCGTAACACATCGGTAATTTTTTTGAGAGATAATTGTCCAAGGACAAGATAAAAAAATCATGATGGATTTGATTTGTGGTGTACTTAAATAAAGCGAAACATAAATAAAAGCTATGAAGATCATATATATATATATATATATATATATATATATATATATATATATATATATATATATATATATATATATATATATACTAAGTTCATAAATAATAAAAGTATAAGTTATCTGTAATTACTTAAACTTTTAAAAATAATAGATTAATTTAAAATATAAATACTTCTTACATAGTTAATTATATCACTCGTGTTTTCAAAAAACATATGACATGACAAAACTATGATATGATCAAAATCATATTTGTTGGGTACGTAATATGGTTAATGAACATATGACATGACACCAATATGATATAAATATTAGTGGTTATATATATATATATATATATATATATATATATATATATATATGCTCAAGAGTAATTTTAGAATGATGTTAGGGAATAACATATGATCTTATAGGGTCACACATTTAACAATTTATCAATTATTGAATATTTATTAAGAATTTTATTATTAATAAATATATTCAACTATTGTATTTAATTAGGAACGATTACTATTTTATAAAAATTATATTTCAAAAAGAGTAGAAACTAGTTATTAAATTATATGGTATCATTTAATAAGTCGTGTACACGTTTTTCGACTCGTAGGATTTGACTAGATAAAACTTGCACATATAGGAGATAATACTTGATAATTTGAAAACAGCACATCTCTAATCTCTCCTCTCAAAGTTGTAGATAAGAAACGGTGGGCTAGCTTGCTTGCAAGCTTCATTCTTACACACACCATAATCCTATAGTCCCATATCTTTGACCTTTGTAGGGGTATGGGTCATAGATATGATGTATTGGTATAAAAGAGTGCTTAAGGATTTCATTTCATGTTGCTCTTTGTCAATTTTCTCTCCCAAACCTGAAAGCATAGTGCTCCCCTCTCTTATTCTTCTCTTTTGAATTGTAGTGTAAGAGGTGAGTGTTTAAGTGATTTTCCTCTAAGACTAAATTGTGTTTATTTATTAAAGACATAAGAAGTATTATTATAATAGGGAACTAGTAGTCTTGGTGATTTCATCTTAATGATTGATACATTATAGAGAAGATCTACTTTAGGCTTTTGTCATCTTCATCAACTCCTCAATTGCTAAGTTGTATCAAAGTCTTCAAAAGTTGTCATCTAAAAATCATATGGTTGTTTATAACAACATGCATGTCACGCAAAGAAAATATTTCATAATCCAAAAACCAACCCAAAACATCACAAACCTATCTAATTGGCGTAATGTTTTGCCAGATCTACACAATAATAAAAACAACACCTTTTCGACTGTATCAGTTTCTGCGAGAAGTCTAATCATAATTATTACTCAACATAATGATAAGCAACAACACATTTCCCGATAGTAGTAGCGAGCAACGAAAACTTTGATCAACATCAACATCAACAGTGACATGTACAACACGACCTTTCCAGATAGTTTAGCTATCACAAAAGGTTCAAAACTATCGCAACAACATGTGTCAAAAAGCATGCTTTTTAAGAAATGCTTTGATTAAGATATAGTTTAATATACTTTGACACTTTAATAATTTATATTTGTTTATATGTTTTTATGTTATTATAACAAAAATAATAAAACTTATAAACACATTCCATTTTATTATTTGTATGGTTCATGTGCGAAAACCCATCCATACAACAATATGTGAATGACTCAAAACATCCAAGAAACTAAATAAACAATAAAAGTTAGACACATTAAATTATTTATATTAAAAGGTAGTTTTGTCTATTGATTTTAAAGCACTTTGAAAATGAATGTCTATATTTAGTAGACACAATTTCACTTATGTATATATAAGGTCATACCTCATCAATTTTCAAACAAAATCGTTTTCTTACGGCTTAAGAAAACATGAAAATACATGCTAATTGCATGATAATATCCTTCTGCTTTGCCTTGCTAATATCAACCACAAGAGATATAGAGACAAATGTGTTGCTTGCTTGATAAGTGAGTAAGAAATAAACCTTGGATAAGGTTGTTGGATTTCATTGAAGGATTGAGGACGAGTGGATATATATATATATATATATATATATATATATATATATATATATATATATATATATATATATATTTGGTCATATCTTGAATTTTAAGAGGTATAAGTTACAAAGTTTTTTGTACAAATCAATTATGCATAAATAATTCATTAATACTTGTCAAAAGTTTGAAGATTTGAATTAAGGAAAGTAATTAAGAAATTCAATTTGGAGCAAAATGGAAATTTTAAAGTATTAAATTCATATATATAAACTAATTTACATTTCTTAAACTAAACACTAATATTAATTAATTTACATCAATAGTATAAACATGTAATATAGAAATAAGGTATGAACATAAATATTTTATTTAAAAATGGTAATTTTTTATTACATAATAACCAATAATAAAATCTAATCATTATTTCCCTGTAAGAAATTATTTTCGAAAAAAAACGATTGATAATTGACGCTTTGTGTGGGCGCACATCTAGTATATATATAAATCATAATATCCATTTAATCTCTCTCTATATAATATATATATATATATATATATATATATATATATATATATATATATATATATATATATATATATATAGAGAGAGAGAGAGAGAGAGAGAGAGAGATTAAATGGGAGATATTATGATTTGCATGCCAAACCGAAACCTATAAATGCCCTCCATAAATTATATTGATTACCAATCAATACAATTTGAATAATAACATACTTATATATTAGACAAATATATTAATTGTAGATCTAGTCCCTTTCTTTAATAGTTTCTTATTAAACCACGAACTATTGATACATAATAAACTATCCCATATTTATCATTCTCTTTATTTTAGATTGTACATTGTCTGCAATGCAATATGCATATGTATTGTTAATAATATAACTAACTTATTGTGTAGGTGTGGATATCTCTAACAATAAGACATATAAATATATAACATCGATGACTTTATTGATTAAATTACATTTTTATAGTACGTAACGAGATAATACATGCATATTTGATATAGATTCAAACAATGCAAATCTTATTTTAATTAGATAGGAGTTTTAAGATGTTTTATCATTTATTATTGTAGATGTTTCATTTAAATTTTAAGATGATTATTTTCCACCACCACCTCCTCCTCCGCCTCCACCTCCAGATCCGCCTCCCCCTCCTCCACCGCCTCCGCCTTCCTCTTGGTTATTACCGTCAAAAGATACTTGAGTGTTAGGATATTGATTGACATTTTGTTGGTTGCTATCAGTTGCAGTGCCAAGTGCAGCATTGTAGATTGAATTAGTTGACATTTTTCTTATATTAATTTCGTTGATAACACCTCCATTCGTCAGTTCACTATTATCATCCATATTTACTTTCATAATTCCCTTTAACGTTTCTTCACCACTACCTTCAACATGTCCTCTTAACTTATCGAGGATCTCTTCTTGAATGTAATCTCTGGCATGCCATCCTCCATGTAGTGCATCACGAACACCGCATGATAAACTTGTTTTTTAATCACAAGCAGTCTTACTAATGTCGTCACCATATTCTATGATTTTTTTCTCTTCTCCATGAAGCTTTTTACCACAAACAGTGTGAGTTCTGAAAATCAAGAACCCTACAATAACAACCATTAAAAGCTTAAGATCCATTTTGTACTCTTTCTTAATATTCCGCCCGTGACTTCAAACCTTTTATCAATTCACTTGTATATATAGGGATTTATATCTTTTGTTATTAAATGTGATAGTAAAGATATAATTATGTTAACCAGTTTCCATTTAAAATTATAAATTAATACTAATATTTAATATTCTGTACAACGTGTATGAGTTGACATAAGTAGCAATGTTATCTTTGTATATATTTTAGTAAATAAGTTTGAAATTATTTCATGTTAATTTACTTTTACACATACCTAGTGTATCATTTACAAATCTCATACTAATTCACTATACAAAAAAATAGAACATTTGAAAAACAAGTTAAATTTTTTACTAGGACTTACTACCATATGGTTCAAAATGACTACTTCATGCTAGCTTCGCTATAAAACATCTTTATTCATTTCTCTATTTTTATAATTAAATAATAAAGTATATAATATTAAAAAACGTATATGATAGACAATATAATTACATTTTGAACTCCTACACTTCTTTATATTTATGATTATCATATTCAAAAACTATATAACCTTTTTGGTTGCCAAAAACTATTATTTTTAGATTTTTTGGTCCTAAAATTAGATAATTTTGTTTTAATTCGTGAATCCAATGTAAAATGACTAATTTACCTTTATACTTAATTTACCATGAAAGTCAACCTACTTAAATTTGCCTTTCCATCCTCATCGACAATGCATAACACCATGCCCTACACATGCTTTCCATCGATCTTGTATCACTAATACTTCAACCCTAGTGCATGGCGTAATGATATGTTTCCAAAAAAGTTAATTAAAAAACGTTAAACATTAGGATTCGTAGAGCTTTATAAAGATCATTGGGGTCTAGCTTATTTATGTTGAAACCAAAAAATATTCTACATAGAATGGATATGGAAAAGAGAACCCTAGCATATTATTTCTACCACGCGAATCACTTCTCTTACCTACTTAATTAATTAATATAGACTTTCTGGTTATTTTGCTTGAAATCCCGCAACATTCTACATCGGTAATTTTTTAAGAGATAAATGTCCAAGTACAAGAAAAAAAATGATGGATTTGATTTGTGGTGTACTTAAATAATGTGAAACATAAATAAAAGCTATGAAAATCATATAGCCGGTTGTCGGTAGCTTTGTGTGTGTGTGTATATATATATATATATATATATATATATATATATATATATATATATATATATATATGCTTAGGTTATTATATTCTAACTAATTATTGTACGGACGTATGGACAATGCTATTCTTTGAGAATGATAAAGAAAATATGTTGTTTGATAATATAAATACGTTCAATCACATAACTATTGCCATTAACACACATTCTCACTAATTAAATCGTCTATAAGGTTATTATACATTTATTATTATTATTCTCATTTCTGTCAGAATGTTATCAGAATGTTTATTGTGTCGTATTCAGTCGGAATGAAAATGAGTGAAAAACGATGTGTGAGAACAAAAATAAATAATAATTAGCGAGAATGCATGAAAATGACGATACTTTTGTAAGGTTGAACGTATTCGCATTGCTAAAAAACTTATTCTCTTAGTAATAATTAGTTAGAATACTTGAACCTAGCTATATATATATATATATATATATATATATATATATATATATATATATATATATATATATATAACAAATAAAACATAAATATTCAGTAAGAAATAAAATTTAAGATCTCATTCAATTTTCCATAAAAGGTTTGTATATTATGTCATGAAGAAAATTGATATGTTAATATGTGCATACCCAAAAGGATGTCATGGTGGTGCTTCTAGTGGATATAGAGATGGCAGGATATTGTGATGGCAGTATTTGAGCTTAAGAGAGGTAGTATGTAAGAAGACATTATAAGAGTAATTAACATATAAGGGAAATGAGGAGGATATGACCACACAGTAAAGATGGTACATGTGATGAGAAAATTAATAAATGAAGAGACCTCATTGTTGGTGAAACACAAAACGATAGAGGCACGCCTATCTAACGAGTACAATCCAATTAATAATACTACAAAAATTTTGTATTAAACTTATAATTGAGAAACCGTGATTAAAAAAGACATGATGTTTAAATGATGCCCTAATATATATAATGACACCATGTTTCATGAGGAAACCAATAAAAATGAAGGGTGGGAAGACCGATCACAAAATAATTGGTAGAGGAGGGGTGAGGTGTCTTCGCACCATATTGCATAATTATTATTAAAGCCAATAATAATAATGAAATTATTATCAAATATATATTAGGAGAAAAACAATCATTTCAAAGAAGTTTAATTAATATTAAAGAATGCCATACTTGAAAAAATAATAAAACATAAAAAAAATGTATATATATATATATATATATATATATATATATATATATTAAATTTTAATTGCTAACTTATATACACTCTCAATCTACATATTACACATTTGTCCCAAACGTAAGAGGCGTGTTTCCAACGACTTGTAATCCATCTAACCATATAAAAACATTATGTTTATAAATAATAAAAATATAAGTTATCCAAAATTACTTAAACTTTTTAAAATAATAGATTAATTTAAAATATAAATGCTTCTTAGATGGGTAATCATATCTATGTGTTTTCAAAATACATATGATATGGCAAAACTATGATATGTTCAAAATCATATTCGTTGGGTAAGTAATATGGTTAATGAACATATGACAGGACACCAATATGATATAATTATTAGTGGTTATATATATATATATATATATATATATATATATATATATATATATATATATATATATATATATATATATATTGTATCTATATGTTCAAGAATCATTTTAGAATAATGTTAGGAAATAACATATGATCTTATAGGGTCACACCTTTAGCAATTTGTCAATTATTAAACATTTATTCAGAATTTGGTTATTATTAAATATATTCAACTCTTGTATTTAATTAGGAACGATTATTATTTTATGAAAATAATATTTCAAAGAGAGTAGTAACTTGTTATTAAATTTTATGGCATCATTTAATAAGTCATGTACAAGTTTTTGGACTCTTATGATTTCACTAGATAAAACTTGTACATATAGGAGATAATACTTTATGATTTGGAAACATCACATCTCTAATCTCTCCTCTCAAAGTTGTAGATAAGAAAGGATAGGCAAGCTTACTTGCAAGTTTCCTTCTTACACACACCATAATCTTATAGTCCCATATATTTGACCTTTGTAGAAGTATGGGTCTTAGATATGATGTATTGGTATAAAAGAGTTCTTAAGGATTTCATTTGATGTTTCTCTTTGTCTCTTTTCTCTCCCAAACCTGAAAGCATGGTGCTCCCTTCTCTTCTTCTTCTATTTTGAAGTGTAGTGTAAGAGGTGAGTGTTTAAGTGCTTCTCCTCTAAGAGTAAATTTTGTTTAGTTATTAAAGTCTTAAGAATTATTATTACAATAGAGAAGTAGCATTCTTGGTGACTTCATCTTAAAGGTGGATACATTATAGAGAAACTCTACTTTGGGCTTTTGTCATCTTCATCAACTCCTCAATTGTCAAGTGGCGTGAAAGACTTCAAAAGTTGTCATCTAAAAATCCTATGGTTGTTCATAAACTTTCTATAGCATGTAATTTGATCCTTTTTTGTTTTGTTTTAAGAAGGTCTTAAAGTAATAATTATTTTAAAATCGCTTTCCTTTGTTGTTAATAAGAGTTTTATATAAAGATTGTTTTTGGCTTATCAAAACATATTAGTGATGTGAGAGCCTCTTTTACATGTTAGAAAGATTTATTTTAATGTTTGATAACCTTTGTTTTTGGAAAATATGTTTGGTATTTCTTTTGGAAAAGAAATGACCAAATATATTTTGTATGACAACTTATCAGTTTATAATTGTTATTTTTTGTGCAACCAAATGTTTCATGCATTTTGGTTGTATAAAGTTGTCTTAGAAAAACAAAGTGTTTGTTTGTTTATATTATATGATGTTGTGTATAAAAAATCCATTATGATCCTTTTGTTGTTGGTTGTTATTTATTTATTCATAAGATGTAATAGATAAACATATTTATTTTTATGTAATAAATTGGTTTTGACTGTTTTTTTTTCAAATGTAACAAGATGAATATATTACCAAGTTTGGAAGTTTGTTTCATGTCTTATCCACTTAATTCTATAATCCCCACTTTGAATTTATACTCATGGTTTTGGACGTAATTATAGTCTTAATTGTTTAAATGTTATGCCATCATAATACATCGAGTGTTGAAGTCCTTTTGCAAGAAATAGTTGTTTTGGAAAGTGGCAGCTAGAAGAATTTTTGAAGTGTCCCTTAAGTTATTTAGGAATGACTTAATAATTTTTGTATCGGCTCACAAAAATTATAACTAGTATATGCATAGGTTTATACATATTTGATGTATGATTGTGATATTTATGTTATGCTAGTATTTATAATGTTATGTGTAGGAAAATGAGTTTTGCATGCTAAATATTATTTTATCATAAATTAAGATCATTTGAAATTTGAGAATTAAATATTTTGATTATAATGTAATATGTTTAAAAATGAGTTTTTATTAAAATTATTTTAAAACGTATAAAATTGATTTTTTTATTAAAAGTGGTTT